GAAACAATCACTTTATGGCAACTGCTTCATTAGAGAAATTAGAATGAGCTGGAACCACATTTTTTAAAATTCAACCTGGGTGAAAGAATTTTTATACTTCTGCAAACAAAAAAAAGAAAAATGAATGTGGGAGGTATTTTACTGATAAAGAAGCTGAGTACCATTATTCATATGTCAATGTAATGTAGACGGACTGAACCTGAGCTTATCTCATGTGTGCAGACATTTGTAGACAGATGCCATTTTCATGTGGCCTGAGAGTGTGCCAGGGCTTAATTTATGCTATTTATGGTATTTCATGAAGCACAGAGTAGGGGAGACGCTTTCACTGATATACCATTTAGCAATAGGACAGCAAAACCACTGTTAGTCTGTCACAGACCCAAAAGCTAATATATTCAATGCAGCCCATGCAAGTCTAGAATAGGTGGCAAGTCTCGATTAACAGTTTTGTTGTTGTCATACAGACCCTGACACAAATATATTCAATGCAGCCAATGCAAATCTACAATGTGTCAGAAGTCTAGATTGACACAGTTTCAGTTTAAAATGACAAAAGTCTCCGAGCTACTTTTTATTATATTTTATCAACAATAATTTAGAAACCAACTTTTCTGGCAAAATATGTTCATTTCAGAGACTACACATTAGTCTAACAGTTTCTGCAAATGGAGAAAGTCTTTGGGACCATTTTTCATCATATTTTATTAATATTACCAGGAACAGTTTATTCTGTAAAATATGTTCCTTTCATAAACTAGATGTTAGTCTAACAGTTTCTGCAAATGAAGAAAGTCTTTGGGACCATTTTTCATCATATTTTATTAATATTACTCAGGAACAGTTTATTCTGTAAAATATGTTCCTTTCATAAACTAGATGTTAGTCTAACAGTTTCTGCAAATGAAGAAAGTCTTTGGGACCATCATCATATTTTATTAATATTACAGGAACAGTTTATTCTGTAAAATATGTTCCTTTCATAAACTAGATGTTAGTCTAACAGTTTCTGCAAATGAAGAAAGTCTCTGGGACCATTTTTCATCATATTTTATTAATATTACTCAGGAACAGTTTATTCTGTAAAATATGTTCCTTTCATAAACTAGATGTTAGTCTAACAGTTTCTGCAAATGAAGAAAGTCTCTGGGACCATTTTTCATCATATTTTATTAATATTACTCAGGAACAGTTTATTCTGTAAAATATGTTCATTTCAGAGACCAGATGTTATTCTTTTCCACAGTGGATTAAACCAGAACTGGGCTTCAGGGTTTGTACCATACATGGAGTCAAATCCAAACCATAGGCGGGATAAGCAAACACTTGCCCCACGAACCCACATCAAAGTAACGAAAGAAGGGATCCACAAAATGAGTGAGTGAGTGAGTGAATGAGTGAGTGAGTGAGTGAGTGAGTTTAGTTTAACGCCACACTTAGCATTATTTCAGCTATATGGCATTGGTCTGTAACAAAACGAGTCTGGACCAGACAATCCAATGATCAACAGCATGAGCATCGATCTATGCATTTGGAATACAATGACATGTGTCAACCAAGTCAGAGAGCCTGACCACCTGATCCTGTTAGTTGCCTCTTCCGACAAGCATGGGTTACTGAAGACCAATTCTACACCGGATCTTCACGGGTTTCCACATATTGACTTTTGGGATGGGAACTAGGAACGAAAATCTAAGAACAAATTTATCATGGCCTTGTTTACAAGTTTTGCATGATGCCAAACTGTCCTTCTGTGTGGAAAGCTATGGGTATTACAACAGAGTTAAGTAATTAAGCCCACGACAGTCCTGTCAGCAAGTGTGTGGCAGCCAATGCATCATGGGTACAGAAAAGGTTAAAGCCATTTGTTTTTTCAGGGCTGTTTGATGTACGTTAGACAAGGATCAGACTTGTCAGATGTCATAACTAACATTTGTCATATGTCGGCAATGGTGGCTGTCGCTTCAATGTACAGTTACATCACCGCAAGCCAACACCGCTGTCTTCACAGATCAGATCAAGGGGTACTTGCAGACACACGCAAACAGTCTGTGTGTACAACTTAATGAGTTGGGGAAGTTTTTAAAACTTCTTCACCAGAAAACATACAAAAGGTTAACTATACAATAGTTTAAACATTTGGTATAAAACATTAGCAAGATGTTTTTTTCATTTAAGGCCAAACCAGTTTTGTTTTTTTCCCCTACAGATTGTCTATACCAACAAGCCAAGCTGCAGGTGGTAGAATTACAAAGTCAGGAAATTTTTACAATAACTGTTTAATGTTTTAAAGGCTCATAGCCAGATTTGAAAGTCAAAAGAAAACCACAACTTGTAGGGTGAAGTAAAACGCAAATATTATGGATGACAACTTCTTCTATATTGTATGTCACAACATTTCTGGGCTATTCCTTGCCCCTTCTTCAGGTTCACAATTCACTTGACGAAGGGGCAAGGAATAGCCCAGAAACTTTGTGACATACAATAAAGAAGAAGTTGTCATCCATAATATTTGCGTTTTACTTGAACACCAACTTCTAAATGCCTCTCAAGAACCTTATACGGTGAAATAAAAATTCAACTTCAACTGAATAAAGAATTTTGCCAATGTTTAAATTTTATTCAATTTTAAGGCAGGCTCATAAAGTAAAGAATTCAGTCCCGTTCTTAAGATGATATTGCTACTTGTAACTCTCCAGTAAAAGCAGTACGTGCGAAAATTCAGCTCGACGTTTTGTGACACTTTTTCATTGTGGTTTGTGAGCTTCTTATGAGATGTCTCTTTTCAACAATGACAATCAAATAAATGCTTATGTACATGTAACTCATATGTTGTGATATATACTTCACAAACTAAAGTATGAACCTGGGTACCATTCATAAAGAACACTAAGTAGGCCAATCAGACCAGTCACATGGGAGTTGAGTGTCAGAAACAATATAATAACTGCTTGTAAGCTGAAGGACAACCAATCAAGCATCTCCATCTCAAGTGTCAACCATTAGTTTTATCCTTAAAGAAACATATACAGTGTCTGTATGTTTCAATGGAATGAAAGACTTTAAATCATTAAACTAATATACAACTAAATCTAAAATCAATCTGTTGAATTTTTATATAAAGTCATGAACTCATTTGTTCCTTCCGTAACAATCTGCATATTACCAAAATCAATAAGCAAATGTCCTTCTTGATCTTATCCTTCTGTACAGACTTAGAGCAAGGCTAACTTTATTTCCCCTCAATAAATTCTGAATCATCTGCCATGATTGTACCTGGCGGTCTCCCTGTATGCAGGAGGCGGACCCACACTGAGTGGACGCTGATCAAAGACTCCCCTGATCATGACTACCACCAATGGCCACCACGAAGCATGAATAATCTCAACTGCTTCCATGAATGTAAAACTGTCAGATAGGTGAGAGTCTAGGTCATTATATACATACATTATTTCCCTGATCTTGTGTTAAGGTGTACATTAAAGGAATGTTGATTGGTTCTAATTGCAATTAAATGGAATTGCTATGAACTACATATTTATGCGTAGGAATGTTGAGTGAAAAGGCTCATTTACACAAGGATAACTAACATCTACTCACGTACCTGGTTCTCCTGATTACCGTATATGACCACAGATAAGCCAAATTTCGAGGGCCAAAAAAGCAGCCTTTAGAAAAGGATTGGTTTATCTTAAAGTTACCCTGTCATCAAACCAATTTTTTGGGTAAAATTTCCTGTAAACAATGCCAAATATGTGCTGCACTATTATTTCCAACATTCATACTGATTTTTGAAACGAGACATTTTGTGTTCCTTGCCCTCCACTACTTGTAGAAATTTACAGAGAAATGTCAGTTCTTGAAAATTTATTGCATATTTGTGGTTCTCACTCTGGTTCTCACATGTTTCTCTGGAGCCCTCCCTGCAGAGACTGGTTCATGGCAGTACATGCACTGCATCATGTTTATGTGGAGTTTGTCCTTGTAGAACTGCAATACCCTTTCAGTCCCTTTGTACTCCAAAGAGTATAAAATATTGTATCTTGATTTTCAATTTCCCATATCAAATTGATAATGATCATGTTTTCTATTAGAAATATTTCTATTAGAAATATTTTGCCATGATGGTACCAGCTTAACCTACATAAGCTGTATACAGTGAATGAGTTGTGTTTGTTGTCTATGAGAAGAACAGCATTTCACCATTGTGAGTAGAGAGCACATTCTTGCTCAAGAAACATATTTGAAATGTGTGATTGAATCTACTGACTACTGACTGACAAACTACTGTGAGCAGCAACCACTGGGGCCGGTGGGGTAGCCTAGTGGTTAAAGCATTGGCTTGTCACGCCGAGGACCCGGGTTCGAATCCCCACATGGGTACAATGTGTGAAGCCCATTTCTGGTGTCCCCCGCCGTGATGTTGCTAGAATATTGCTAAAGGCGGCGTAAAACCAAAACTCACTCACACAGCAACCACTGATTGGATATGATGACATCCGCTCAGGATCCAACCTGGATCTTCTCAACCTTCCAAAGTTCTCAAGACTTGTTGCCACCTTCCAGCAGTAACTGGTTTCACACAATGTACTCGTGTGTGGAACTGAACCCAGATTATAGCATGGTGAGACCACAGGCTACCCATCAACCTCAAGTTGTCTGTGGTAAGAATTCCCTGGTGGTTTTGTTTGTTTGTTGTTTAATGCCACACTCATCATTATTCCAGCTATATGTAAGTGGTCTGTAAATAATTATGTTTGGACCAGACAATCCAGTGATAAACAGCATGAGCATCGATCTACGCAACTGTGATACGATGAAATGTTTCAACCAAGTAAGCAAACTTGACCACCTGATCCTGCTAGTCGCCTCTTATGACAAGCAAGGGTTGCTGAAGACTTAATTCTAACCAGGATCTTCACTGGTCGACTCCCTGGTGGTAATAATTTCTCAACCCTCCAGTACATTTCACAAATGGAAGCATAAGAACCTAATCCTACCTTCACTTCCGAACTTGTGCAGCTGCCTTGTCGACCTGGCCCTATCCTCTCCATCCACTATAGGCATGAGGGCTATCTGTAAAGAAAGCAACACTGCTATTAGACACACTACAATTGATTGAAAATTGACTTAAATGTTTTTATTAAAATGTGCACACCAGCTTTTGCTTTATACATCCAAAGATGCAAAACCATTTTACTTGCACACTAATATAATTCAGTCAACATCAACAACCTCTCAGAGGTCTTATTTAGTCAAAAACACATTCAAAACCTGTGACATCATTAAGGACGTGGAAGCGACACAAGTCCCGCCCTCCCCAACATCAGCCAATCAGGAAACAGTAGAACCCTAGAGGGTGTGGTCTATGGCGTTTTTATTATTTAAACACAATACAAATCAAATTGCCTTTAACCAATCACTGTGAAATCACTTGTACTTTATTCATTACATCATGAAGACAGACGGTGACGGTATTACAACACATACATTAGAACTAGTGTGTAAATACAATGTATTTTAGCATACTGGCACAGCTGATTTGTTTCTTACAATGATGACTGGAAATTAAATCTTTACGACAGCTTGAATGTACAGCTATGGAAGTAACATGAATGAATATTGTTCAATCTAATTAATAAAAGCTTGCCAGATATTTATCTGGGCCTGCTTGGAGGCGAATATTCGCAAGCATATCGGAAGTAAGATGGGCGAATGGTTCATGCTAATACACTTACAACTAATATTGGTTGAGCTGACTTGAGTTAAAACACAAAAAATACCTTTTGGATTAAGAAAAAAACAACTAGAGAAACAGTTAATTAAAACTACATTTTCCTGCCAAATTTGCTTGCCAAGGGTACTTTATTTTGAATCCCCCCAAAATATTGGAAAGTTGGAGGTAATTATCCAGTGATAAGTGACTCTGTAGCATGCTATGTATCCTACTCCACTACTGAGTGAACATTTGTATATTTTCCTCAAAACTGATTCACATTATGTCATTTAAACGGTGACATGTCTGATTATCCCTATCAAAAGCTGAGTGGTATATGTAGGGTTTTACCTCAACTCACAAACATGGGTGTCCCTGGAACCCCCAATTAATTGTTTTAAGGGTCCTTGCGGACAATATGGCAGACAGACAGACAGACAGATTATTTATTAAAGTCTCACCCCTGTTATACATATATAGAAACTAATTAAACATATATTTACATAAGAGGCATTTCATACGGAAATATGAGAGACTAAAATTCTTTAAAAAATTGCATGTACATGTATTATGAGTAACAATAATTAAAAGTTATATAATACGGATTTTCTCCTTTTTAAAATAACATGGCAGGTTTTGGCAGCTATAAAACAGATATTGCTATTGGACAGGATAAAAGCAGTTTTTTTGTATATCAGTAAGATTACTAAAATTCTGACATAGGCTATCACAAGTATTTAAAAGGCTAAAACGTTCATCACTATAAACCGGACAATTAATTAAAACATGAACTTCGTCTTCAACACAGTGTTTACAATAAAAACATTTTGAGGTTCTTGTGAAGTAACAGTGTAGAGAAGCGTATGTTTTGATAATTTCCTTATAGCCTGGAATGAATCATTGATCATGTGGACTGATGGATGAAATGATGTACGTAACTGCTCTGAAAGAAACAACCAAACACTTAGCGAAGTCATATGTGTTGTTGGTAAAGTGGATAATATTGTGCATCCCTCTGGACACAGTGTTATTTGTTTTCTGCGTCTATTCTCTAAATTTGAGTGTACTTGACACACATTTGCATGTCGAGTAAAACCCTGTATTTATATGCTGGCATACCTGTTTTTCAACACTTGAATAACTCACTGACACAGGATTGATCACTCATTAAAAAAAAAAATCTTCCCAGAAAAGAGCCTGTATTTTGAAAACATACTTTTGTTTAGTGTTTGGAGATGATCTGTAATCAATAAAACACATCTCTTAGAAAAAAACACAATCATGCATGTATGCTGTGCAGTTATCAAGGTAGCAGCACCTTTTGTCCTTTCATTTATTTTGTTAAAACATTTACGCATGCTGTCCGAGTTGGCCCTGTCACAACTACCTGTCTCTTGAATTACTGATGTTTGGTCAGCTACTAAGCTGTAGATTCAAAGTCTGGGACATGAAATAGAAGTCTTATAATATTTATTCATCTAGAAATTACAGTGTGTATTTGCTTTTCTCATATGGCTTCACGCACCAGCCTCATACACTATGACTCAAACAACGTGGGTCTACAGACAGACCTTGCATCCCTCCACACTACCACTTGTTCAAACAAACTGCATTATCAAAGTAATGATATGTTTCGAATGCATTAATGTACACATTGTAACTCCTGAGTTGGCGGAGAGTGTCTGGCTGAATCATCCAGGTTATTGAGTTAATACTTCCAGCCACCCAGAAGAACTGTCCTGTCTACCCTACAACTACTTATCTGTCTACATCATACCTACATCAGAGTCTACCCAACAACTAGTCTACACTGCAGGATACAGCATACGTTGGGATCAATCCACGATGATAAACTTTGTGCCCCCACCAGACAATTTAAATTGTTCAAATTTGGGTGTTTTTAGTTTATATAAATTTAGGGGGATTATCATTGTGTTCTGAGATTACTTTCAAAGCAAGAATATAAAAAGCAAATTTGGGTGTTTTAAATTCTTTTTATATTAATTTAGAGGGATTATCATTGCACTCTGAGTTTGCTTTCAATGCAAGGATATAGAACGATGCATTAAAATCTCTTCATTTCTTTTGGTCATGCTAATAGTGAAACATGGGTTACCTGTACTTTACAAAATTAGTTATTAGGTCCTGTCATACATACGTATTAGCATGTGCTGGGAAGTTTGTAATTACATCTGTTGCAGAGGTAGGGCTGAAAATCAGTTTCTGATCAGTGCCCCATTCCTCAAAGCGATCGTAACCCAAAGACGATTGTAACTCCCATACTTTAACATAGACTTACGACAGTCGTAGCGCTACGATCGCTTTGAGGAACGGGGCACTGGTCTAGATAAATTACTGCTAGTATAGGTTATACTAGAGCTGTGTATCGTGGTCTAAGTGGCGAGACGATATATCCCGATACCAGTTTAATGAGGCGAGACGATATATCATGAAAGTATTGGCAAGTAACCTGCAAGACAATTATGATCACGATACAATGGTGGCAATATGATTCATATCTCGATACTTTACAATTTCTAATAACAGAAAATATATGATAGATAAAAAGACTTAATCTTGATTTGTTATACAGAAGATCTTGTGCTACATTCACACACACTTGTTCATATAATAAAGTTTCAGCATTTAATGGTTAAGAAAGAAAAGTCAAACATATTCAGTATACCTTGATCTAAATATATTTGATCTAATATAAGTGTGAAACTGAAGTTTCCCTTTGGAAGGTGAGTTTCTGCACCAATGTTTTCACAAACAATTGAATGTAATTTATATCAGAATTCAGAATCACTAAAAAAAACTCTTTAAGTATGCCTTCTATATTTTATCTTCTCTTTGTTCTCTTTTTTAACAAAGCTAAGACATCGTTTATAGTTGTTAATAAATGGTGTTATTTGTCAAACAACTAAAAACATATTTCAATTACTTGAAGACAAGTTTTCTACAGTTCACAGAGTTTGAAAATGTTCACACTCTTTCACTTATACACCAACTCCTTTGTCCATGTAACAAAGATAACAGACACAAACAAATTCCTATAAGGTTCAATTTGTTTTCAAAAATTCAGGAGAATTTCAAAGAGACTCCCTTCCTATTCCTAGTGCAATACTCCTTACAACTTTAAGTAGTATTTAAGTTGTGTCGGGATATATCATCTCTTGTGGCGATACATCGATGTATCGTGGACCCTTGTGATATAAATATCCTGATATATTGCCTAAATGTGTTTTGTATCGATGCACTTGTATCGCGTAGTTGATGATGCAAACATTGATGCTATCGATGAATCTTTACACCACTAGATTATACATGTAACATCCTGTCTACCAACAACTAGTTAACATTCTACCTGCAGCCTCAATCTAACTTTCCTGAGTCATCCATTATGACTCACTAAAGATTGGATAAAACCCCACATTTGTGTACATGCCCATCTTAAGCCTTGTTACAACTAATACAATTCTTTAAGAGATTGTAGTTGTTTACAGTTTCCATGCACTGAGAAGGAGAAGATAAACCCTTGACAGAGGTTGTGAACTGTCACTTTTCACAATATTGCATAGAAAACATGTCATCATTCACATGAATTTAAAACCTGAGGGGATAATGTATCTTTGGGCTTCATGTGCAGCTGTATGGGTACATGTGAAGCTGTATGGGAAGATGTGCAGCTGTACGGGTAGATGTGCAGCTGTATGGGTAGATGTGCAGCTGTATGGGAATATGTGCAGATGTACAGGTAGATGTGCAGCTGTATGGGGTAGATGTGCAGCTGTATGGGAAGATGTGCAGCTGTAGGATACATGTGTAGTTGTACGGGTAGATGTACAGTAGTACCTGTAGATATGCAGCTGTATGGGTAGATGTGCTACTATATAGGTAGATATGCAGTTGTATGGGTAGATATGCCACTGTACGGGTAGATGTGCTACTGTATGGGCAGATATGCTACTGTATTGGTAGATGTGCTCCTGTACGGGTAGATGTGCTACTGTATAGGTAGATGGGCAGCTGTACGGGTAGATATGCTACTGTATGGGTAGATGTGCTACTGTATGGTTAGATATGCTACTGTATGGGTAGATGTGCTACTGTACGGGTAGATGTGCTACTATATGGGTAGATGTGCTACTGTACGGGTAGATGTGCTACTGTGTGGGTAGATGTGCTACTGCGCGGGTAGATGTGCTACTGTATGGGTAGATGTGCTACTGTACGGGTAGATGTGCTACTGTACGGGTAGATGTGCTACTGTATAGGTAGATGGGCAGCTGTACGGGTAGATGTGCTACTGTATAGGTAGATGTGCTCCACTACGGGTAGATGTGCTACTGTATAGGTAGATAGGCAGCTGTACGGATAGATGTGTTACTGTATAGGTAGATGTACAGCTGTATAGATACATGTGAAGCTGTACTATTAGAATATTGGAAGATGGGTGGGCTGACTGATAGTGATCCACAGAGACCAATCCATGGATCAGTTAGCAGACTGATATACATGCTGGGAGGATCTTTTGATATGAACACATTCTATCAATGTCCTGGGCCTTCCAACAGCTACTCAGTAGTTGTCTTGATGTGTGGTAGGCTCCAGGCCAGTGTTGCAGTTAAATGTCTTATTGATAGTGTCAACTATGCTTTCACACAAGCCTGAGTAAATGAACCATGCTATTCAGTTTCCGCTTTTTGATCCACCCAGGCTATTGTGTCTGACCCACCATCATCCTGTAGCCATTACATTAACCTCCCTGTTGCATCCAAGCCCAACATGACTTCATTCAGGCCAACAGCCTACAACTTTAGTAAGTGTATTATTTTAGAGGCCACAGTTGCAGACGCTCTTGTAATTTCTTAATAAACTTGATCTACATGTGGGGCCTGGTTTGTTGTATAGCTATAAACGTGAATGAAAGCGTTATGAATGAAGCGTCGTGCATCAATGACCCTTGTGAAACCACGTGAATGTAATACTGGCGCAATCTCATCAATGGCATTACCCAGGATGCACTTTTCCATCACGTCTAACCTGTATGAGAAGCCTGCCAACTCAAACAGCTTTATAATTTTTGCTTTAATGATACGGCATAAATAAGACAGAGGACAATAGAACGACAATAAGGAAACATGGTTGGCATACTGGGTAGACAGGGGGATCTGAAGAGTCTTGACAGTGGCGGAGGGATGAATCATTAAGGCTCACAGTACAGGGGTGAATGCAACAGGTATATTGATGAGAATGATACATCACACACAATATAAAACCTGCAGTCACTTCCTTGCAACTGTCTGTCAGCCTGCGTGTTCAAGGCCAAACAACATTAACACTTCATTTAAATGAAGACGAAGTGCACTTGATGTAAGGTTCAACAATGTTTGGGGTTTTTTTCAGTTTACAAAAATATCAAGCAGTTCCTGCCTTATTGCCAATCTTACTGTATATTAAGTGTGACATGAATATGCATGTGAGAAAGTCTGCTTTACATCACCGTGCTAATGGCCATGGTGTAATATATTAATAATTTAACACTTTTTCATTGTAAATATTTGTGGGGTCATTTCAGATTTGCAGATAGTTTTCAGATTTTGGCTGTGGGAAAATAACACTTTCCTTACCAACAATCAGTCCACCCCTTGACCTGTATCAGTGGGTGAGTGAGTGAGTTTAGTTTTATGCTGCACTCAGCAATATTCCAGCTATATGGCGGCGGTTTGTAAATAATCGAGTCTGGACCAGACAATCCAGTGATCAACAGCATGAGCATCGATCTGCGCAATTGGGAACCGATGACATGTGTCAACCAAGTCAGCGAGCCTGACCACCCGATCCCGTTAGTCGCCTCTTACGACAAGCATAGTCACCTTTTGTGGCAAGCATGGGTGGCTGAAGATCTATTCTATCACGGATCTTCATGGGTCACCTGTATCAGTGATCCATTCCCACAATAATCAATTTCATGTTGAAATATTGGACATGTTCTCAAGTGAGAAACTGTGTACATGCATGCATGCACATGCTCGCACTCACACATATAAGACTACTCCATGACATGTAGATATCAGTGGACTACAGCTTGGCATGTAGATATCAGTGGACCGCAGCTTGGCATGTAGATATCAGTGGGCCGCAGCTTGGCATGTAGATATCAGTTGGCCACAGCTTGGCATGTAGATATCAGTGGGCCACAGCTTGGCATGTAAATATCAGTGGGCCACAGCTTGGCATGTAGATATCAGTGGGCCACAGCTTGGCATGTAGATATCAGTGGGCCACAGCTTGGCATGTAGATATCAGTTGGCCACAGCCTGGCAGGTAGATATCAGTTGGCATGTAGATATCAGTGGGCCACAGCTTGGCATGTAGATATCAGTGGGCCACAGCTTGGCATGTAGATATCAGTGGGCCACAGCTTGGCATGTAGATATCAGTGGACCACAGCTTGGCATGTAGATATCAGTGGGCCACAGCTTGGCATGTAGATATCAGTGGGCCAAATCAGCAAAATGCAACTGTCTTTAATTTCATCCTTCTCATGCTGCAGGAATTAGAGAATATAACATGATGCTCCTATTATTTCCACTAGCAACACAATGGAAGAGAACATTGTTCCCATTTGTTGGACAATATTGATGTTGTACAACATACAAGCAACAGGTACCAGACTGCCAACCTTTCCATATAAAAAAACAGCAGCATTGTTTGCAAGATGACAACAAGAACTCCACGTTGTGTACCACCAGCACAGTGTAATACAGACAGGGCCTACTACAGGGGCAATATATGGGGTGTAAGGTAGAGAGTAGCCTTGCTCCAAGGCTGTAATGAGTGCTAAGCCCATGGATGTATAGTAATTCTATCATCTAAAGAGGCAAGTCCAGATAAGCGGACAGTACCCCAGTCTGTTATTTACATTTTTCTTAGAAATTATCATTTAAGCTATTAATTATTACCTTAGAGTCTTGTGCAAGTCTAGGTACAGAGCTGTGGGAAGATTATATGTCCATCACATGTTGAGCAAAAATTATTCCACCATTTGACTGCATACAGCCTTTGAAATTCACTCTGCAGCCCAAGACAACTAAAAGTAACCATCAAGTCATGGATGCCCTCATTGTCTTGAAGCATACGAGGGCAAGAGTTCTCAAAACTTCTATTTTGTTACAGAGGTGGTGGGGTAGCCAAGTGGTTAAAGCGTTCGCTTATCATGCTGAAGACCCCGGTTTGATTCCCAACATGGCAACAATGTGTGAAGCCCATTTCTGGTGTCCCCCAACATCACATTACTCGAATATTGCTAAAAGCAGCATAAAACTAAACTCACTCACTTTCTTAATTTTGTTACAATTTAGAACTGAACAATAGTATCCGAATGTGTAAACAAAAGAAACATTTTGCTACATTCAAACCTGAAAAGCAATGAATCAAGGAGTAGTAAAAGAAGACTTAAACGCGTCTCAAAAATGCTATTTTCTCAGACATACATATCAATGATCCACCGAGAGGCATTCATGGAGAGTGAGTGAGTAAAATGAATGACTGAGTGAGTGTCTGACTGAGTAAGTGCTTGAATGTGTGAGTGAAAGTAAGCATTTGCTCTGAGTGACTGTGTGTGCGAGTGAGTGAGTGCTTGAGAGTGTCTGTGTGAGAAACTGTTTGGGTGTGTGAGTGAGTGCTTGAGAGCCTCTGTGTGAGTAACTGAGGAACTGTTTTGGTGTGTGAGTGAGTGCTTGAGAGTCTCTATATGAGTAACTGAGTACCTGGGTGTGAGTGAGTGAGTGCTTGAGAGTCTCTGTGTGAGTAATTGAGTAACTGTTTGGGTGTGTGAGTGTGTGAGTGAGTGAGTGCTTGAGAGTCTCTGTGTGAGTGAGTAACTGTTTGGGTGTGTGGGTGACTGAGTGTGTGAGTGAGTGAGTGCCTGTGATTCTCTGTGTGAGTAACTGTTTGGGTGTGTGAGTGACTGAGTGTGTGATCGAGTGAGTGTGTCCAAGTGCTGGACCATACAAACCAGTGATTACAACATCATGCCAGATTATTCATGACTTGTTTATATACATGAAAGCCAGGATACATGAGTCATGGCCATACTATTCTGACTTCGCTGTAAAGAAATACCCACAGCAAGTTTTCACCTGTGACAATCAACCAGGACAAACGAGACACTGTATAACAAAAGCATATCTACCTTTATTATGTTCAACATTTACATATTCCACTCAATTATCTACCTCCGTAATATGTCAAGTTTACTATGTCAAGTATGAGACATAATTACTCAAGATTTAAACATGTTTTCGCGCGACTAGAATAAAAGATATTGCAACAACAGTTTTTGTCCTGACCTGATGTCTTTAAAAGTCTGTTAAGGCTATCTGGATGGATGAGCTGTACAATATTCTCTTCTGTGTGACATAATGTAAATGTGTGCTGTTTTTCTGAAGCTGCCTGCCTATTTGAACAGCAGTTCAGCGCAGTGTATTCAGTATGTAAACAGATTTGTTTTCGGAAGTCTGAGAGCTGTTTTACTGACATACTTTTCTCCCCTGTTTAGCACGGGATCAAAACAACCTGCATGTGACCGAGTGATCACATTCAGTGCAAGTCTATGTCAATGAGTTCCTCATGTCTTCAACGTGATAAATGCAAAATGCACATTCTTCTAATTTATGACATTTCCAGTCTTGTATCCATTAACATGCTTGTTAACCTACATTTCACCAGGTCGGTGCCATGTATACAGAAACAAGTACACTCTCCTGAAAACAAGTACTGTCGAACATCAGGATGAAACATAAAAAAAAAAAATTTAAAAAGAAAGCCAATACGTTTTCTGCGAGATGAGATCTGAAAACAGCATTATTTATATATTGTTTTAAGTCACTGGACAGAAGGAAATAGATGTTTTCGTTTTTAGCTTGGGTCAGCGCGCCCGAATACATCCGTCGCTATGCGTATATGCATGTGGGTTTTAAAATCTCGTGCATTTCGTGGTGATAGCTGACGACAGCGTTAATCAGTTTACCATCGGCAGTTGTCCATATCGAGCTCCTGCCAGGAGTTACAAATTACTTAGTAGATTGCTTCCATTATCGGGAAGACATTTACACAGAAGCATAGAAGCTTAGTTAACATTCACACTTTCGGTGAATGTACAGTGTGGGGATTTTTCATTGGGTTTACTGTTTTGTTTCGGTTTTGGTGTATTAAATGTTCAGACATAATTATTTTGACTTTTCGTTTATTTTATAAATGGGGAATACGAACTGCCTCATTCCCAGTCACAAAGATTTGAGAGTGGAAAGTCAGTGATTCAAGCCAAGGCCTCATGATGTGTCCAGTGATTGGTACGAGTGAGTGAGTGAGTGTGTGAGTGAGTAAGTAAGTGAGTTTTACACCACTTTTAGCAATATTCCAGCAATATCACATAAGTGACACCAGAAATCGGCGTCAGACATCATACCCATATGGGAATTGAACCTGGGTTGTCAGCATGATGAGCAAATTCTTGAACCACTGGGCTACCACATTGCCTGGTGAGTATGGAGTCGGGTGTGCATGTGAAACTCCAGTTTGGGATATCAAATCTTCAACAGTACTTATATTCGAAGAACTTTACTAATGTCAGGTTACAAATTAGAATTAGGGTTACAATTAGTGAGTGACTGAGTTTAGTTGTACGCCACACTCAGCAATATTCCAGCTATATGGCGGCGGTCTGTAAATAATCGAGTCTGGATCAGACAATCCAGTGATCAACAGCATGAGCATTGATCTGCGCAATTGGGAACCGATGACTTGTGTCAACCAAGTCAACGAGCCTGGGTTACAATTAGGGTTACAGTTACATAACTTTGGAACAAGGACAAGGTGGATACATCTTTGATTCAAAACCATGATCACCATATCCTGCATCAACAAGGGAAGCAAATCAGCGCAGCAAATTACATCATCTGTAGCACTGGATGACCCTTAAACCTTAATTAACATCTTGCAACATATCCTGCCTACTACTCTACACTACTAAATACTTGGAGTAAGCAGTGACTTTGGTCCTACGCCACTGTTAGCAATGTTCCACCAATATCTAGGTGGTGGGATAGATGAGTAGTTAAAGCCTTCGCTCGTCACGATGAAGGCCCCGGCCATGGGTACAATGTGTGAAGCCCATTACTGGAATATTACTAAAAGTGACTATAAACCCAGCTCACTCACTCACTCCACCAATATCTACATAAGGGAACATCAGGAATCGGCTTAAGCCAAACTGACCGTTGAAGATCCAGGTTAGAATTTGTCTTCAGCAACCCATGCTTGTCGTAAGAGGCGACTAACGGGATCAGGTGGTCAGACTCGCTGACTTGTTTGACACATGTCATCGATCCCACTTGTGTAGATGGATGCTCATGCTGTAGATCAATGCTCATGCTTGGTTCTGGTCACCATCATATAGCTAGAACATCAGTCATACTCGTAAAGATCCAGGTTAGAACTGATCTACAGCAACCCATGTTCATAAGAGGCAACTAACAGGATCGGGTGGTCAGGCTCGCTGACTTGGTTGACGCATGTCACCGTATCCCAATTGCGTAGATCGCTGCTCATGCTGTTGATCACTGGATTGTCTGGACGAGACTCGGTTATTTACAGACCGCTGCCATACAGCTGGAAGATTGTTGAGCGCGGCATAAAACTAAACTCACTTACTCACTTTAGCTGAACTAACAGGAAGAATTGCAATCAGGTCATAACACACCTTCGTCACCTACTAAATCTATGATTAGCCACCAACGTCAAATAGCAATGAGTTTATCTTACCACAGGTGACAGAAATCCTGACTGTAACAACTCGTTATCTAACCTGATCTACAATCAACAGACAATCAACAGGTAGTCCAGGGAAGACTATGTCTATAAATAGAACTCAGGTAATGGAGGTCAACCACCGTATGTAACATTTCTGTGTCACACAATCTGACAAATAGGACAAACAGCATGTTAGAATTAGGTACGTTGCTGGTAAATTACTGGTCACTTTATTGAGATAATTACATGGGTAGGCTTAGTACTGATTCAATAATGATAATAAGCATCATCATCATCATCCTTCTTTTCATTACACTGCTAGTAGGTCGATATTATACAATTACAGACTGGTGATCAGGTCAATACCTGTTTTTATGGACCCGCGTGGGTCCATAGAATCAGGTATTGACCGAATTCACCAGTCCATAATTGTTTTATTATGTAATTACCGAAATAAAAGCTTCTAAAAACCACAACATGTCCATTTATTCAAGAAAAGTAATTATATTTTCACTACACACCAATAACGTTATGTCAACAATACTGTGACATGTAAACAATAGAATGACGTCATAGCTTGACGTCATAGTAACTCAAGTCAATACGACTTTTGGTCGGACCCCAGGGTTGGAGTCAATATGATGTTCTGTTGACGGTCACGTGACCGCCTCTAGACCAATCAGGTAGCTGGAAAAATATGCCTACATAATAATACAAAATAATCTGAGAATAATTTCTTACAGAGTGAGTAAGTGTGTATGGTTTTATACCGCTTTTAGCATTATTCCAGCAATATCACAGTGGGGACACTAGAAATGGGCTTCACACATTGTGCCCATGTGAAGAATTGAACCCGGGTCATCGGCATGACAAATGAATGCCTTAACCACTAGGCTACCTACAACACCACCCCTTCTTACAGAGGGGCAGTTGGGTAGCCTAACAGTATTGCTGGAATATTGCTAAAAACAACATAAAACCTTATTACCTCAATCCATCTTATTCTTGTTTTGCCTTAAATGATTTTTCATCAGATGAATGCCATTTTAATGCATATTTTACACTGATAATGTGGCAGATGACACAGGATGATATTAAAAGGTTAATTTCATGAACCTTGCCACAAGAGCATTTACTATACAGTCATAAACTGAAGGTAATAAATATGTAAATGAAGTACTCTCTTTCACTCAGTTCCTGTATAAAGAGCAGTCAAGTAGCTATTAAGTTTCAGGTAATAATTTTTAAATCTTTACATTTTGCCACACACACACAAGACCGTTAGACTGACACTTAGTCCCAGAAATATAGTTATCATATCTAGAAATATAAAAAAAATATATTAATGTACAACACAAATACAACTGGAGCCCAGAATAATATGTAACTTTTGGCCTAGAGCTAAGGTAATCTAGACTTGCTATATCATTTAGGGGTGGGTATTGCAGAGAATTTTCATATTGTGATATATGGCGATGCGGAAGCATATATTGCGATATGTATTGCAATATATTGCAAGGATTATTTTTTTAACCAAAACTACTTATAATCGAGTTAATGCTTGATTATAAGCAAAAACACAACAAAATCGCTATGATTGATTAACCGTTTATAAAAACTTTTAATCATGACAAAATAAAAATGTAATTAACAATTGGCACTAATGAAACAGGAAAAAGAACAATTAAAAAAACGGAAATATCCTAAGATTTCCGAGTGTGTTAAAAAGTTTTCGAATGCATGTCAAAATACCGGTTTTCGATCAGCATATCACAATACGTATCGTTTTCATGTCTGAACCGGTAAATACCGGTAAACCGGTTATATTACGCAGCCCTAATATCATTCTGGTGAGTGAGTGAGTGTTAGTGAGTTCCAACAATATCACAGCAGGGGACACCAGATATGGGCTTCATACATTGTACATTATGTTCAACATTTACATATTCCACTCAATTATCTACCTCCGTAATATGTCAAGTTTACTATGTCAAGTATGAGACATACCTACTCGAGATTTAAACATGTTTTCACATGACTAGAATAAAAGATACTGCAACAACAGTTTTTCTGACCTGATGTGTTTAACTGGGAACTGAACTCAGATCTTTGACATAAAGAGTCAACGCTTTAACCACTAGGCTACCTCACCTCCTCTCTAAATCATTCTAGACTTGAATAGGACTCCTATTTAATTTATTCTAACAGCCTGATCGACTAATAGGACCAGCAACATAGTAATACAATGTGCAACCTGTTGAATTGCTCACTCCGGAAAAACATCTGGACAGCCATATGTGTCATACAAGAATCAATTGAACAATCCGTATGAATACCGAGTCCAGGCATCTACTGCATATGTGACCTGAGCTTGGTATGTATTACATCGGCTGCAAGTGTTGGAATGTCCAATCAAATGTAATAACCCAATATAATCTGAGTGCTTACAGTACCTGGCAGGACGAGCTTATCACGCTACCTACAAGGACATATAGACACTTAATACACTTACTTATTTTCTGTTTTTAATGTTTTTTAAAACATTCAACACTGAATATAATCAAGAGACTAAGCAGAAGGCTGTACACTCATGACAGTATATAAGGGTGTCTTTTTAACTTTGGCAATTGGACTCCAGGACTTTGTTCAGGTGGGAAAAGGATTCGTTGAGAAAGAGTGGAGCAACAATGAGTAAAGTCAAGTATAGTATTTTTGTGATGGCACAGCATGGTAGCTGGAAGTTGAAGAAAAGAGATTTGAATGGAAGATTTCAGACATTAAACCTTTGTTAAGTCTGTGATGTTGACCAACCAAGTAAACTTAATTCAGTCAAATTTGTGATTCTAAAACACAATTTCTGGCATACCAAAGGGAGGTAACTCTGCATGTTGCTTTCTGCAGACCACTGGGTGACCAATGCTCCATTGTGGGTATAGATGAGGGAGTGTGGTTTTACACTGTTCAAGCAATATTCCAGCAATATCATAGCAAGGGACACCAGATATGGATTTCACACATTGTAACCTGTATGTGGGCAATCAAACCCAGGTCTTTGGTGTGACAAGCAAACACTTTAACCACTCAGCTACCCCAGGTATGGATGAATATAAAAGTGTAAATGGATAAACATTTGGGGAAATGGGGAGGAAGTGCTGGGTATGATGAAGCTGAGGAGAGAAAGGGAAGACCGATGTGAGGTTCTGAACATGATTCATTACATCATTACCAGAGGTGTCCTCCCATTTGTGAGAACTCCCAGTTGTGAGACACATTAATTAATGGTTCAGTGCACACAGGTGGTGCTTCCCCATCCCTACGATGAAAGTGGGAACCGCCCTGTTGCTGAATTTTTAAGAGTACCCGCAAGAGGCATAGTTCATTAATGAGCATTAAAGAGCATTTATTGTTTTCAATAAAGAACAAGTTAAATACTGAAATACTGAAAAATTATATCATTATATTTACACAGAAGAA